GGTCACCGGACCCGAAACGTTAACTCTGTTTATTCCTTCACAGATGCTGCCAGACATGCTGAGCTTTTCCAGCAACTTAGTTTTTGTTCCTGATTTACAGTGTCCGCAGTTCTTTTGGTTTTTATACAGAACAAATCCCTCTTAGAGATTCAGTACTGTCACACACCCTGTTAAAAAAATGAACTATCCAAATGCAAAAATGGCATCAGTTTGAACAACTGAACTCTCACTCTATTAGTACCCTACATTACATTAATCCTAAGCATGCAAACATTCAATACCACCGTCCTCCTCAGTTCGTTTCTTCCGCTACTGAATGCCTCCATCTTCCTTCTTCAAATTCTTCAAGTTGGACAGATTCCATTGTACTGGGTTCAGATCATACAACTCCTCATGTAATATATTTTTTCAACAACAGTCTGCCTGGTATGTCATTCCTGCAACTCTCTCTGTAATTTATTGTCTACAATTTATTGCGTAATATGTCCTTTCTCCAACTTCCTGTGTAATATATTCAGTTTGCAACTCCCTATGTGATACGTTCATTCGACTGTCCCTGTATAATATGTTCGGTCTACATCTTACTGTGTAATATGTTCAGTCTACAACTCCATGTCATATATTCGTTGTGCAACTCTGTGTAATATATTTCATGCACAACCCATGTGTAATGTGTTCAGTTTGCAAATCCCTATGTAATATGTTTAGTCAACAACTCTCTGTGTAATATAATACCTTAAGACTTACAGAAATAGGATCAGGAGTAGACCATTCAGCCCCGCAAGCCTGTTGCACCATTCAATATGATCACGGCTGATTCAACATTCTGTGTGTCTACTTTCCTGCATTTTCCCCATTTCCCTTGATCCCTTATTGATCAAGAATCTATTAATCTCAGCCTCAAGCATACACAAGGAGACTGCCCCACAGCTCTCCGTGGCAAGGAATTCCAAGACTCACAACCCTCTGAGAGAAGAAATTCTCCTCATCTCAGTCTCAAGTTGACACCCCTTTATTCTGAGACTATGCCTTCTGGTCCTAGACTCTCCCATGAGGGGAAATATCCTCTCATCATTTAACCTGTCAAGTCCCTTAAGAATCCTATATGTTTCAATGAGATCACCTCACATTCTTCTAAATTCCAACAACTGGAGGCCCAACCTGTTTAGCCTTTGTTCATAGACAATCCTCCATACCAGGGATCATCCTTGTGAACTTTCTCTGAACTGCTTCTGATAAAATAATATTTTTTTTCTTAAATGTGGGGACAAAAACTGCTCATGGTACTCCAAATAAGGTTTCACCAACACCTTTGTACAGTTGCAGTAAGACTTCCCTACTCTTATACTACAACCCCCTTGGAATAAGGGCGTTCATTCTATTAGTCTTCTAAATTACCTTCAGTCTACAACTCATTGTGTAATATGTTATACTGCAACTCCCTGTGTAATATGTTCAGTTGGCAAGTCCCTGTGAAATATTTTCAGTTTGTAACTCCCAATATTGATCCTATTTTGAATGCCAGATTCTGAGCATTTTTGAAAAGTTATGAGTTCAGGTTGTGAGCACCTGAATGAGTTTGCAAACCTCTTGTTACTTTCAAACCTTTTTCCAGATATTCCAGCGCAAAGAAGCAATTGTTAACATTTCTGCCTTAGCTAGTAATGAAGCCACTCTCAAAAGCATGCTGGAGAAGGTCAGCAGCCTATGGAAACACACCAGCTTCAAGTTAATGACTCATCAGTTGGACACCTACACTGTATTAATCATTGGGTCAACGGAAGAGATCATTGGTCTGCTGGAGGATAGTTTAATCACCATTTCCACCATTAAGGGTTCCCGTTACGTGGAACCAATCAAGGTACAGTGCTTTGAATGAAAGGGTGTTAGTAAGATATGTCATTTTCTTAATGGTCCTTTATAATGTTCATGGCACATCCCCTGGGAATAAGCCACCAATCCCTCAGTGTGGCCAGACGCTACGAACAGACAGCTCGTAAGGACTGTGCTTCCATTTTGCCTCTCCTGTGAGCTGGGAGAACGAAGGGCGTAAGGAAATGATCAAGACTCCAATGAGATTGATTTGATGGTCCACTCTTACCCTGAATGTGGAATGTAACACATTCACTCTTTGTATACCTGTGTCAGAAAGATACTTTGGTAATAAGTGTAGACTAGCCTGAATTTTTAAAAACATTCTTTTGTGCAGAAAGAGGTGAATGAATGGGACCGTAAACTGAACATTATAGCACATACAATAGAAGAACTGATGACCTGTCAGCGGAACTGGCTCTACCTCACTCCCATTTTCCAAGCTCCTGATATTCAAAGGTAAGAATTAATCCTGTTCTCACTGCCAGACTGTTCATTTCTTTAAAATTCATTGTCATCTTCCACTACTGTTTTTGAATTTGTTCAGGCATTCATTTTGTGTCAATTTGTTTCTTGAATATAATTCTGGTCCCTCATAAACTATACATTAATGCAATCTAGAATACTTTACATTCAAACCCGTCATGTCTTTGCTAGCAACTGCAATTAGTTGTGAAGAAAAGGCAAAGTTGCTATTAACAAACATAACAGAGAAAGTGCAAATATGAATCCCAATTCCATTTATGTTGGGCAATCACATCTAAGTATGTCTCGTTTCCGCTCACTCAATTTTGTCTTGGGAATGAATCCAAGTTGTATTTTGAGCGTGTCCCATTTGTTTTTGTCTGCATAGAACTTGACGAATGAAAAAGTAACTGTGGTATTCAAAATTTTGCTGCTTTGCTGATACAACTGTATGTGCGCGCTTAACATATATGATGCTGTGTTATAACAGGCAACTTCCCACAGAAACCAAACTGTTTAGCCACATTGATGCTGCATGGAATGAGTTAATCATCAGAATTCAGAATAACTCAAATATTCTGAAGACAACCACCACGTCAGGGGTCCTTGAGCTTTTACAGACCACCAATGCCAACTTGGAAAAGATACTGAAATGTCTTGAGGTAATACACCCTGGGCAAAGGACCTGAATTCGTGCACTTTTTTCAAGTGTAGTCACTTTTGTAGATGTTGGTGTGTTCGCCGAACTGGGAGATTTGATAGCAGATGTTTTGTCCCCTTACTAAGTGACATCCTCAGTCCCGTGGAGCCTCCTGTGAAGTGCCGGCACAAAACAACAGCGTTTCACAGGAGGTTCCACTGCACTGAAGATGTCACCTAGTAAGGGGATAAAACGTCTGCTATCAAACCTCCCAGCTCGGCGAACACACCAACATCTACATCCAGCACCTGAGCTACAGATCTTCATTCAAATCCTGTAGTCATTTTTGTAATATTTGGAATACCAGCTGCCAATATGCACACAGTAAACAAGCTTTATTATTATCAATTCTTGTGACTATGATTTATTTCCTACCCCTAATTCTCCATAGAGAATATGTTGATGAGCATCCTCCAGCTCAGTGGTTTACAAAGTCATTTAAAGTTTAGTCACATTGGAGTTACATGTAGACCTGAGTCAGGAAGGATAACAGATGTCCTCCATTAATAAGCCACGTGGATTTTACAACAGCCCAGTTGGATCACAATCACTATTAATGAAACTTGTGTTTTATTCCAGGTTTGTTAATTAGTGTAATTTCAGTTTCTCTAGCTGCTATATGGTGAGATTTAAAGTTGTGTCTCTGGAGTTTAAATTCGCTAGGTTTCTAGTCTACTAACAACCTCAGGCTCTCCTAAACAGCAATGAAATAACTGAGCAGATAATCTCCTATTGACGGTGCTAGGTGGAGAACCATGAGAAGCTGTGCATGAATTAAACATTACTGGTTTCTAATGGCCACATGCAGAATCCCGATTGTTCCAGGCTCTGAAGGAAATACCAGGAATTGAAGATTCTGCTGGGCAATTCCTCTAGTTGTTTCAATGAAATTCCTTTAGTTGCTTCAGTTGTTTCAGCGGCGGGAGTCCGGGAGGAAGCGCGAGGGCACCCTGCGAAGGTAAGCTTTTCGATTATAGAAGTCTTACCTCGCGTAACTCCATTTTTGCAGCAGCAGTGAGAGTGACGACCAGGGGGCTGCCGGGAAGGTAAGTTAATCCTTTTAAAAACTTACTTCGTGAATAGGCGGAGCGCACGCTGAGCAGGAGCGGACACGGGACGGCTGAGTAAGTGAGGTAATATATTTGGGCCAACAAGGTGCAGGGCTGGATGAACACAGCAGGCCAAGCAGCATCATAGGAGCAGAGAGGCTGACGTTTCGGGCCTAGACCCTTCATCAGAAATGGGGGAGGGGAAGGGGGTTCTGAAATAAATAGGGAGGGAGTGGGAGGCGGATAGAAGATGGATAGAGGAGAGGATAGGTGGAGAGGAAACAGACTGGTCAAAGAGGCGGGGATGGGGCCAGGAAAGGTGAGTGTAGGTGGGGAGTTAGGAAGGGGATAGGTCAGTCAGGGAGGACGGACAGGTCAAGGGGGCGGGATGAGGTTAGTAGGTAGGAGATGGGGGTGCGGCTTGAGGTGGGAGGAAGAACAGGTTAGGGAGGCAGGGACGAGTTGGACTGGTTTTGGGATGCGGTGGGGGGAGGGGAGATTTTGAAACTTGTGAAATCCACATTGATACCATTGGGCTGCAGGGTTCCCAAGCGGAATATGAGTTGCTGTTCCTGCAACCTTCGGGTGGCATCGTTGTGGCACTGCAGGAGGCCCAGGATGGACATGTCGCTCGGTTCGCAACAAACAACTGCACCTCCCAGTCGCGAACCATTTGAACTCCCCCTCCCATTCCTCAGACGACATGTCCACCCTGGGCCTCCTGCAGTGCCACAACGATGCCACCCGAAGGTTGCAGG